TCAGAGGCTCGTAATGACCTATGCTGTCAGTCGTATCGCTTTTTCCCTCTTTCTGTTAAAAGGGAAATGTGATTCTTAATGTATACAGTGCTCTGAGAGTTCTTTTATGTTCCGTCTCAGGAGACATTGCTGTTTTACATTGTGTCTGTGCCTGTGGCAGTTTTAATTGACATAGGCAGGAGTGGTACTTTCAAAGAAATGTTCCTCCTAATAATATAGTAACAATGCTTTTTTTTTTATTGACCATCAAAAATAATGTTCGAGGGTTAAGAAGGTGCCTCTGGCCTGCAGATCACAAGGTTACAAGAGAGGTTTGGATGAAGAAAACACTTTGGCTCATTTGATTCCACCTTCTCATCCTCCTTCACCTACACCAAGCTTTTTTTTAAAACTCTTCCTCTTAGCCTATTACAGTCATTAATTGTAACAATAATAATCTTAGCATTTGGTATGAGCCTGATTGACACATGCTGATTGGGCAGAAATACTTCCTAGTGTTTGTCTAAAAGAAGGGATTGGCCTTCAGTCCAGTACATTATAGCCCTGTACTTTGTGGCTCCAATACTTTTAGGCTCCTGGGCAACCTAGCCCTAAGGCATTACATCCCCAGTCAATAATAATAGATGTGATACTGGTTTGCACCCATGGTTGTCCACAAGAATACCCAGGCATGGAACTCTCTTTTTAAGAACTGCCAAACATTAGCTTCCAAATGAAGACCCTGAGTGGTTGGAGAAGAGAGAACCAGAGGCAAAAGTCCTGCTTCTGATCATTGTCATTAGACCCCCTGACAGATGAAGACAAATTCAAGCTTGATTATGATGCTCCCTGCAATTGAATACCGATCCAACACTGCCTGTCTACACTAATGCAAGAAGAATGGCAACTTGGGTGATGTACCAAACAGCAGCCTTGGAGTTCTATCCAAGTAACGTGCTTCTAGAGAAGGTGTGGCGAGGGGGTTGTGTGGTAGAGAAATGATAAAAACTGGACACGATACAAAAGCTTAGTTGCAACTTAACTATCCTTGCATTTGATACAAGGCCTCATCAGTTCAAAACATCTCTAAGTGTTTACAAATATTCCTTAAAGTGTTGGCAAACAATTTGTCCATAGCAGTATCTCACAAATAGCCATGAACTGAAAAAACTTTTTTTTTATCTGGGAGGAACTTCTTTCTCTTTTTGAATAGTGCCATGGGATCTTTAACCCCCTGATCAGACAGACAGGCTTTCAGTTAAACATTTCATTAGAAGAACGGTGCTTCTGACAATGTAACGCTCCCCCAGCATTGCACTGGAATGTGCGCTCAAATCCACAAACATCTAATTCGGAGGCAAGAGCGGTACCAGACTCAGGGCTTTCAGTCCCTCTGTATCAAAAGAGGTTTTCATAAAATGTTAATAAACAGAGCAGCAAGATCTTTAGGGAGAGCAATTTTACACACACGGGGGGGGGGGGGAGGAAGCAAAGGAGCTGCCTGGAGCTTGTTCCTGTCCAGTCTGTTGGTATGTTTCTTCTGTCTTAGAAGTGCTTTGGAAGTAGTAACTGAATGGAATTCCATGACCAAATACTGATGTTGAAAGGGAATACAATTAGAGCAGGATGTCACCGGTACAACTCAGTTCTCAGCAGGATTAGTTACCGATGGCTGCCATACTGTGATCAGGCAATGAAGAGCAGAGGCAGGGAAGATTAGAGATGTGGTTCATCTTCTCCCCCAAGCTGCTTCTCTACATTTCAGAATACTGTGGTAAGGCACAGAACAGCTTTGGTGAAGATGAGGAACAAGATCTGTAGGCTCTCTTCCTAGACTTCTTGTGCTTCAATCTGCAGTATTTTGTGCTTCTTGTCCAGTTTAGTAATATTTAATATTAAAGAATAAATAAAATTTCACTCTTATAAGTTATTCTGTATAGAATAGAACATTTAAGGAATTTCAATTAGCATTGAAGTCTATTTTTTCTTACTGTCCATTTCTGTGAACATCGATGACAGGAATGGGTATTAGGAGGAAAGGTCTGTCATGCTTTTGAAATCATTTTGGCTCAGTTGCTGGCACTTTTTGCCTCTGGGTCAGAAGGTTGTGCGTTTGAATCTAACGACAGGATTTGAGCTCATAATCTAGGCTGACACCTGAGTGTGGAACTGAAGGGGTGCAGTGTTGTAGATGCTGGTCTTTAGAAGAAATGTTAAGCTGAAGCTTTGCTCTTGGCCAATCTAACACCTTCCTCTAACTCCAGCTTCTGAAGTGCACTCTGGAATTTATATACCCTCATTGGGTGAGTAATTAGTGCTAACAATGCCTTGGGATATCCTCCCGACAGGAAAGGCTCCAGAATAAATATAATTTGTTGTTGTAGTGTTGTACTGTGATTCCATGGCCAGAAAAGGCTGGGTCGAAACTGCTCAAATACGTAATCGTGTAAGATTTTCCCTGCCAGCAGACAGAGGAAGCTTTTATTTTATCAGTCTTGCTCAAGTTTCAGTTTAGGATGTCAGAGGTGAAAGGACCATGTGCTTACGCACTGTACAGCACCAGAAATTCATCTCCCAGTGATCAGAAAGAAATTGTGTGTGGGAATCCATGGGTGCAGATCCTGGTCACACCACTAAGTGGCCCAAGGTCTTGACGACAACCACTGTGTGATTATGTTGCTTGGTAAATGGAGTCAAATAATAATAATCCTCGCATTTATCACATTGTTGAGACATCTCAAAGGGCTTCACAAGATATACTGTAACTTGAATTGATTATATTTTGTCGCCGGAATATCTTGGGAAGATTGTAGAAAATTAGAGAGAAAAAACTCCCAATACCCTCGCACACTTGCAAAACAAATCATACCAAGGAAAAAAAACCTTTTGAAACTAATCGACAGCTGGTCATGAATGTCAAGCCACGCTGTACCTTAATTGAACAGTTTCTGAGCAGCAGAAGGGCCCCTTGATCGAATTACTGTGTTAAACTCACCATCTATTTTATCAATACTTTTCCTTAATGCACAGAAAAATATGTAGGAAAAAAACCTCTGGAGGAAGTTTAATTGTTTACATTGTGCGTCCTTGCTCTTCACAGGGAATAGAGGATATATATAGACATTTGAACGTAATATTGGATTGGTGTATTGCACATTTTAAATCAATACTTATAAGAGAATCTGATGACTAAGTGCATTGTCTGGTGCTATTGAGCGACATAAGACCAGAAAGGTACTAGGTTTGATCATTATGCTTTGGGCAGTTTGGCAGTAATGTGGGGAAGAATGGTGGTGAAGGGGGGATATAATTAACTTTAGTGCCACACAGATTAGTGAGGAAGGGGGGAAAATTCTGATCCTGATCCCTAATCATTGAGTCCTGATGTAACGTCTGCATATGAATGTTAATAATGCTTTTATATAACGCCTGATCACATCAAAACTTCCAAAGCGCTTTATAACTTAAAGTGTAGTGACTGTGTATTTGTTATGCAGAAGCCAATTTGTATACAGCAATGTTCCACAAATAACACTGACGTGAATGACAACTCTTTTTTAAAATTTGAGATGGCTTTACGGTCCTGAAAGTCAATGTAAAATGTTTTTTTATTGTTTTGTTGGCCAGGTTATCAGAAGAAATCCCCTTCACTTTTCGAATAGTGCCATGGGATCTTTAACATCCACCTGAACAGGAAGACAGGACCTTGATTCAATGTCTCATTCAAAAAGACAGCACCTCCAAAAAATGCAGCACTCCCCTGACACTGGATTGAAATATCAGCCGAGATCTTAAATCAGCGAATTAACATGGAGCTTGATCTGACAACCTTTGGGAGAAGACGAACAGACAGATTTATATACTTTGCATAAACTTGATGACTACACAGGAGGTGGTGAAGCAGATTGGCTTGGCACATCCAAGAGAGAATTTCATACCCCCTCCAATTTCTCGGTGAAGGATTGAATTGAAGGCACAAGGATAGAGTATGTAGGATTATTTCCTGCTTTGAGTCTAGACAGATGAACAACTATGAAATTCTTGGTGATCAAAGGAGCAGGCCAGCAATGCCCTACAACCAGCCATGAAATGAGCACCCAATTTTACTTGGGGGTGGGGGGAAAACTCCCTCTCTTTTCCAGCGCCATGGGATTTTTAATATCCACTTGAACGGGCGGACGGGACCTCATTTTAACGTCTCATCCGAAAGACGACATCTCCGAAAATTCGCCGCTCCTCCTCAGCGCTGTATCAAAGTGTTCAGCGAGTCAATGACATGAGTTCCGAACACCCGACGCAGAGCTCGAGTGCAAACCTGTTGACCCAGCGCTTTTGGGACGTCCTCTCGACGTGAAAGGCGTAATAAAAAAATATAAATGGTGGTGGTGGTGGTGGTGGTTGTTGACCCAGAGGCGACAGTGCTACCTCCTGAGCCTTGTGTTGTGTGATGTGACCTCTCCCCCTCCCCACACAGCCCTTGATGAGCACCGCCAGACAACTACACTTCCCAGCCTGCACCGGGCCTCCTTCCCACGGGCGTCTTGAATGGCCGGGCCGCAATGGCTTGTGGGGGCGCGTGTGAAAACCAAACGGCGGCGGCGCTGCTGGTGGTGGGGGGGGTGGGGGGGGGATGGGTGGAGAGTTGTCGCCGCAACCTAACTTGAATGCGGCAAGCGCTGTGACGCCAGTTGACGGGCGCGAGCGGCGGCCAATCGGAGAGCCGGACCGCCGGGGTCCCGCCTAAATTGGGCCGCGCCGCCCAATCAGCGGCGGCCTAACGGCGAAAGGGGCGGGACATCCTTTGTCAGGTTGGGTTGACCGCGTCGGTTGCGATGGTACAGTGCGACGTAAGCTGTTGGTGCAGTAATGGAAGGAGGAGGCGGCGGCGGCGGCGGTGCTCGGTCCTGAGGAGGAATTTTCTCTTTTTTTCTCTCTCTCTCTCAGCCTGTCTCGCCGCACCACCCCACGAACACACCGCCCGCCCGCCCGCCCGACAGTCAGCCCCCGCCTTCGCTCGGAGATGAAGCGGGACGGGATAACGACCCGTTAACGGGTCCCCGCGGCTTGTAATATAGGGGGAGAGGGGGGGAGAGAGGGAGAGAGAGAGAGAGAGAGAGAAGTCAGAATTGGTAATTAACCCTGTGCGGGCAGTGATGGTGGTGTCGAGTTATTTTCAGGGTAAGTCGGTGAGGTACTTAATTTGGAACACATATTCGAGGTGTGTGTGTGTTGAGGGTGTGTGGGGTTGAGGGGGTGTGGGGTTGAGGGGTGTGGGGTTGAGGGGGTGGGGTTGAGGGGGTGTGGGGTTGAGGGGGTGTGGGGTTGAGGGGGGGATTTTTTTCCCCCTCACATTGTCTTGGCAACAGCTCGTCCCCCTTTTCAAATATCCAGTCTTAAGGTGGAGAGAAACGATTTGAGACAAAGATGCCCCTGTCATTGATTTTATTTTTTTAATGTATTTATATATCTGTATTGTCTGTATATCTCTATATCTATCTCTATATCTCTATCTATATCTATATATCTACATATATATGTTGCTTCTTCTGTTTTGTGTTGAGTGGGTTTGTTCATTTGTCTTTAGGGGGTGGAGGGTGGATTTGAACCGAGCCCACCCCCCCTCCCCCACCACCCCACCCCCATTCTCTTCTAGGAATGTATTTGTTGTATTATTCATGGGTTTTGATTGCGAGCCGATAGGCTCTTTCTGGGCTCATTTGCTGTTTCAGGTGCTCGCTCGGTCCTGCCGAGTCGCGCATCTTTTTTTATATATTGAGAGGTGTGAATATATCTACATATATTTATATTTATAATTACATGCTGTGGATACCATTTTTTAAAAAAAATAATAAACTTAATACAGTGAGTAACGGTGAGGATAAAACCATTTCCCCCTCCTTTTCGACCCCCCCCCCCCCCCCCACCCCCCATCCCTGGTTCTAATGTCAAGTCTCCATTTCATGTGTTTGACAGTCTGACTGCATTCGCTCACCATTTATTTATTTATTGTCTGTCTGTCTGTCTGTCTGTGTATCTGCCCCAACCTCCAAATGAAAGAAGACGTGCGTTGATCTACCGCTGTTTAATGTTATATTAGGAGCGCAGTAGTTGGTAATGAACTTCTGTCTTTAAACCCTTCCCCCCCCACACACACACATATGGGGCTGTGCATCAAATCTGCCACCGCGTAGCTGTAGATAACAATATTTGACCTTGCAGTAATCCTGGATGTAGCATTAGTAAACGTTTAGAAGTAATTGACGCATAATGGAGTGAAACATTTGCCGCATCAGTTTAATTGTTTTTTTCTCTCTCTCTTCTGAATTAACATTTGGTCCGAGCGGATCGAAATGCCGCAGAAAATGCAGTTCCTCTGCAATCTTAGTGTCTCATGTTGTATGCCGATCATGCCTTTGCGTCATTTAATATGTACATAGAATTATAAGCATGCATTCATTCATACTCTATATTTGATACTCATTCGGGCGGATGTGCAGTTAGTAAACAAGGAAAATAAGATTTAATTACTCGTACACTCGCTGATGTCCGACTGGTGTACTTCAACTGGTGTACACCAATTGGTGGACAGAACACAGTAGTAATGGGACCCAAACGCGTTTTCTCCCCTTTCCTCTCTTTTAAGTACATATTCGGGACTTGTTATGTGTGGGAATGTAAAACTCCTTTAGAATTCAGTTGAATGTGCTTCACGTGGAGTCATCTTTTTTTTAAAAAACGATTGCTATGAGTCGTTTGGTTTTCTTTTCACAATGTGTGCAAAACGGTGTCGTTTTTTAGAAAAAGCTTTTAATTTATTGGATGCTTTGCAGGACATCATTTTACAGGATCATTCATAGGAGCATTATGTCCTTACTGATTGAACAATGTGTTGACATTGTATCAATAGCCATACAGACAAGCTATGTAACTACGGTACTTAACTAAGTTGAAATGTGTATGTGATCCTTTACCTATCCAGTTGAATTGATTTATATTTTAATTGTAACAATTAATAATTATTTTTTTCTGCAAGAACAGTGTTTGGTAATTGGTTCTTCCATGAGGGTATTTAAGAAAGACTGGGTTCATGTGTGCGGGCAGAACTGGATGTGAGCTCATGAAATACTATATCGTGTACCATGGTTTGATCCAATCATGATCAGTTTTCTAGAGCCATACAGTTCATTAGCTTGCAAGTAAATGTTATGACCACCATTACTTTTAGGACATTGGGTCTGCTGTAATGATGGTCAATGTGAACCTACAGTTAATGATTAAAATGTTTTGCTGATAGGTTAATTTGATATGATTTGGGAATTCATGTGGGTTCATATGGGCATCATGTAGCATGGGCTGGTTAGTAATCAAGAGCAAGAACCTCAGTCAGATTTCCCCCTTCTTTCCAAACCGATGAGGTGATAAGGTCAATTGTTGTACAGGTTAAAATCAGCTTCTGCAGCCACCCTTATTGTATAGTGTATGTTGTTAAATTTAACATTGTAGTTGTACATTAGCCCTCGGGTTGTAACAAGATTGCCCTGATGATAATAAGCCAATAAGATGCTGCTCCTAGCTGCTAGTCTTAAGATTTGTACAACAGGGAAAAACGGTACTTGGAATCACACTGCTTACATAATATTTCAGCACAGATTTTTGCTGACAATTCTATACCAACGTATACATTGGGAAAAAACACTGACTTTATCTAGTTTAGAAGATCAGTAGTTTCAGTGGTATATTGTTGAATTTTTAGAGAGCATGTTTCAATTCCATTGTAGGTCTTTGTTTGGGTTTTTAGATGAGCACAACACTCCCATCACCGAGAAGGAGGACTAGGAATAGACCAGTCCATTTAGTGTGTCTTTGCTCAGACAATTTATAGAACAACAGTGGTATCTACATCTCACTATCCCAGCCTCAAAGCCAAAGGAAAGCGGCAAGAAACCCAAATGAGTTAAAAAGGGAAAGAAGTATAGGCATTTATTTTTCTGTGCATTTATTTTAAATGAGTGGAGTAAGAATGTGTGTTATTTAAATTGTAGAAAACTGCAGACCTGATCCATGGACCTAAAGTAGTAATCCAAACCATCCTGTAGTATTGAAGGTTTACTGTCCTCCGTGTAGTTTCTGGTGTAACAAGTATACCGGCAAAGTATGGTCTAGACCTGCTTTCATGAGTATTTCTAGGTTTGTGATTCATTGATTGATCGGAATCTGCATTTGTTTCTGGGTGTTTCAGCCCTGTCCAAGCAATGTATTAATCTTTTTTAAAAGAAAATTGCAAATTGATTGACTTGCTCTCTCAATACTTCAAAGCTGTATTTTAAATTGTTGGTACTGATAGGAATTTGAATGAAAAATATGAAAACTCAACTTGAGTCCATAAGGACGCTCTCTATTGCAAGAATCATTTGTTTGCACGAACACAATGGCAGTTTAAATTGATTACACTTTAGCAAGAAAAGCAGCAGCAATTTCAGTATTACCTTTGAGAAGAATCAATATCATGCACTAAAATGTTGCAGTACACACAGGAATCAGGGGTTCAGTATTGATTACCAAACTGTGTTGAATATCGGAATCTGTCTATTTAAAACACTGGGTATTTGATTTTTTTGCCTTCATTTGTGGATATCTTGGTCCCTGCTAATGTCTGTTTGGGTGTGGATATCTCTGTAGTTGGATGTGGGAATTTTATGCTTTTGTCTTTGTGTGCATCTGATTTTGCCTGTACAATATATTAATACATTTTGTAGGACTGGCTTAAAAAAAATTAGGAAGAATGCAATTTTTTGCTGAGCATTGGGTGGGTAGTCATATTGTGCTAGAAGTCAAATTAATTATGACACGAGAAACCACTACATAATGAACATACCTCACTGACCCAATCTTGGGTGGGGCATTGTACTCCCTGAATCTCAAAGTTAATGAAGCAAAAACTGCAGAATATTTATTCATCCCCACACCTCCAATTTTCAACATCAATCTCTTTTTACCCCCCTCCCCCCACACTTGAAGGTTTTAATTTTAAACCAAGGTCCTCTAGTTCACAGCTCATGGACCAAGTCAACTGCTTAAATCTATGCTCCCCTCCTTTAGTCTTCCTGCGAGCAAGAGCAAGTTTATCTGCGAGATAATATAACTTAATAAAGTTCCTGAATCGTGCCTGTTGATTTCTCTGAACCCTCTCCAATGTTTCAATTTGCGTTTGAAGATATGGTGTCAAAATCTGCCCACAGAATTCTAAGTATAGCCTCATCTGTATAAGGCCAGAATAAACTTTGTTGTATTTTCTCAAGATGCAACCTGGTTTTTGGTTAGCTTTGTTGACAGCAGCTTCATGTTCACTGGAAACTTGGTGATCCCATTTGAATCTTTCATATTCTCTTTGTAGACATGAATGTGCAGCTTTAGGCTTTGTTGCTGGAATGGCAGCTGTAAAATAGAGAAGCCTTTTATAGTCTAGATTTTAGAAAGAAAGAACTTGTGATTTTATAGAGCCGTATGCCTTATTATCTCCAAATGTATTTTTGTAGCCAAAGCTCGCTTTGCTAGTTTTTTGTAGAAGTACATGGTTCTGGGAAAGTCTACCTCTGTCTGAATTTGGAATAGGGATTGCATCTTAGGGTGAGAGTAACAATTCCATTAATAATTCTAGTGCTAGAGCTGTACACAGATAGACTGGTATTGCAGTTTATCTTTTACCATTTCTTAGAATATCAGACCATGTCCAGCATTGGTAATTCAGTTTGCACCATTTCAATGCTAGCATGTGATTTGCTTTCTTTCCTGAAGGCCATTTTCCTTGCATATATAGAAATGAATATATTTTGAATTGGTGGGAGAGGGTGGAGATCAATATTCAAAGTGTGTTGCAGCTGAATAAGTCTATTCGCATCTAGAAATCGCCTCAGCTTGAAGTATTCGAGGGAACGCATTTGGAAGAAGTGTGCCAGTAATTCTCTTGTTACTCTTGCTCACATTTTTGTAGATGACCTATTTTCTTATGATAATCTTAGGATAATTTAAATCAATTATGTTCTTTTTTTTAAAGACGTCCCTCCCTCTCTCCTTCTAAAAGTTCTAACAGACCACAATGCCAATTGAGATTACAGGCTGCCTCCAGTAAATCATACAAGTGATCGTTATTTATGTGCGAGTCCAGACTGCGGGCATTGTGACCATTTGCCGTCATAGCTGAGGCCTACCGCGTTCTTGTTCGATATAAACACACACGTCTTTGTTAGCCGAACTTAATGGATAACCATCTAAAGCAGAAATTCACTGTGAATTTTTTTTTGTTTTCGATATGTGTATAATATAGTAGATGAAGGAATGTTGTGGCATCTCTCCTCTCTGAGGTCCACTGACTCAATATACACTAGAATTGTTGCTGGAATCTTTCTGATTTGTAAACTCATTTTCACTTTGTCAATACACTTTGTAATACATTAGTGGCTTATCTCATTGTTCTCCTAACACCACACGAATAATGACTTTGAAGTTTTGTATTGTGTAGAGAAATGCGGCAAATAATCTGCACGAGCAACAAGATAAATGACCAAATTGAGGTTGCTCTGGTGTATTTGAATGAGCAAGTAATTTTGGCCAGGTAACCAGGAGAACTCCATGTTCTTTGAAAGCGTGCCATGGGATCTTAATGTCTACCTGAATTACTGAAACAAGCTGAAAGACTTTGATTGAGACCGCACCTCTGAGAGTGTAGCAGCCTGGAAGCCACCACCTAATAACCAGAGGAATGAGTGTTACTGAGTCAACAGATACTTCCTCCAATGTTGCTCCCCAAATTGCTAACTGTGTGTTAACTATTATGCACAGTACTTGCATTCTGGTGTCGTGCTTTTTTGAAAAAAAACGTGTATTTTTTATAATTATTACATTGAAATGTTTCAAAGTGCTTCACAAGTAATTTGTGCCAAGTTAATCATTATTTTATAAGTCAAGCACACAAACCGTTATGCACACAAGGAGCCTTTTGGTGAATGACCAGTTAATATAGAAGGTTGTTGGCCAGGACACTCACTGGAAGTAACTTTGAACATATTGTGCAAATCGGATGCACACAATAATGAGCATGCACACTTTTTCAATGCCAAGGAATAGCTGCATTAACAGTGGACTGGTTCTCAGTTTAACATCTCAATTGTCAGAGTGTACTTCTGATATTCCAGCAGTCCCCCAATATCTCATTGGAGTGTCAGTTTTAAATATGAGCTCAATTTTTGAGGACCAGAGATGAGAGTGCCACCTACTGAATCCAATTGATACTAAGTTTCCATAAATTCAGTGCATGATCCATTTTTATTTAATTTATTTGGTTGTTTTAGCAAAATTTGCAATCCTAAACATAAAATCATTTGAAAGAAAACGAATAGCAGCAGTGTTGCCTTAGTCATCACATTTAAGAGAGCAAAAAAATCCTGATTTTGGCATTTTATATTTCATTTTAAAGTTTGCTATCACCAGACTGAAAATTGCCTTGTATCACACGTTGACCAGTAAATTAAATTGAATAGGTAATGCATCACTGTAGAAGACCAGTGCTGGCCAATTTTCTTTCCAAGTAGGAGCTGGATAAATGCATTGTGAACACCTTGGTTACTTATTGCCAAACTGATGCAAGGTTCAACAACACTGCATGAAATAGCCTTTAATTGACTGTAAATACTTTCTTCTGGGTATCTGACAGCACACTTGTCCTTTTTTTAAAAAGATATTAATTAAATTGATGTCTCAAAGCTTTTCACAGAATATATTGTACAGTGGATTGACTGTGTATTCAGATGACTGAATGAGATGGCATAGTGTGGAATGGTAATCTGGGAATAGGACATTTTTTCAATTTATTTAATCCCTTTCTCTCTCTCCCATCGCCAGACATAGCACTTACCAAACTGTGCATAACACTCTTTGGAATTAGATAAGCAGGATGTGTCCCTCCGGGGAGAGATTGTGCATTCCATTCCAAACATGGGCAAATTTCCATGTATAGATTGCATCCATGGCACTCTGTCTGGTTTGGATACTAGTAAGCATGGTAATGCATTTCTGCACCTGGTTGACCAAAAAAAAAATTCCTGACTGTTACCATTCACCTGTATCTTTCTCCTCTCTCTATTGAGCGCTTCAGATGCATCAAGTCCTGTTTAGTCTTTGTTTGCTGTATTTGCCAGAATCATACCTCATGTATTAGGGCATTACTGCGCTGTTATCGCATGTTTCTGTGCTGTCATGTTGTATTTGTTCAATGTAGAATTGAGAGCTTGCATTTTTGTAGTGCCTTATCACATCTGAGATGTCTCAAAATGCTTTTTAAGTTATTTCTGTCAAGTTATTTGGTACCAGTAAGGGTAACTGGTGATGAAGGGAATGACAAATATATTTGCAGGATTCCTGGCCAAGCTCATCTTGTAATAGCCTCTTGTAATCTTTAATGTTCATGTGAAATAGGTGGTTGGGATTTTAGTTTCACATTTATCTTGAAGATAGCAGTTTTGACAATCCAGTGCCCTCTCATTACTGCATTGGAGTGTTACTGGAGTCTTCTTGACTGAAGTAGGTTTTGAACCAACAGGATTCTGATCCAGGCAAGAATACTGTCAACAGACAGTAATTACACAGAAAAATCAAAAGATCTAACTGGGATGTTGACATTCATTGTGGGACGATTTTAACAGTTTTATTAGCACAGAAGTCATAGTTTGGTTGACTTTCCAATGTGTCTGCCATTGTATGATAAATTTCACCCTAGGAGTACATTAATCTTGGGTTGGATGAATGGTGATGATCACCCTCAGCTGCAACTTTCTGCTTTCATTCGGTAGGGAAGATGACTTGTTAGAAATTCTTAATATAATAAAACAATTAAAATATTTTAAAAATTTAGTTCTTTTGCAATACCATATTCAAGAAATTGTTGTGAGGCCTGTTTTGCCCAAAGGATATTCAGATCCCCCGTGAACGGTATGAAGCACAAACATCTATTGGAAGTATTCAATCAGTCCTCAACTTTAAATTAAGACTGGTTCAGTGGTACCAATCTCGCCTCTGAGTCGGAAGGTTCAAGCCCCACGTCAGGACTTGGAATTGTAAAGCTTAAATGGATACTCCAATGTAGCGTTGAGGGTGTGTTGCATTGTTGGAGGTGCTGTCCTTCGGTTGAGACGTTAAAGCTAAGTCCCGTCTGTCTGTACAGGTGGCAGTTAAAGATCCCATGGCACTATTTGAAAAGAGAAGGGGGTTTCTCCTAGTGTCATGGCCAACAATCCCCCAAATAAAATTGGTCACTCACTCCATGGCTGTTTGTGGGCATTGCTGTTGGCAATCAGCTAATGAGTTTGCCCACAAAATGCACAATGACTTTACAGGATATACTGTGAAGGGCTTTGAGATGTTTTGTCGACTGGATAAGGTGCTCTATCAAATGCAAAGATTATTATAAAAATGAACAATGCCCTGTTTATACAGTGGATAGTTAATGACTGAAATGGGCTACCAGGAAGGGTGGATAAGGCTTGGTTGCTAGACCCATTTAACAAACAGTTTGATATTGTAATGGATGGACTCTGGATAGGGTGGGTACTCTGAAAGTTCAAAGTGTTTTCTTAATCTAAGCCTCTCGTAATTTCTTTTCAAATTTGTAAACCAAGAGTTGCAGGTTGTTAATTCCAGTCGACAACGTTTATCTGTGTTTTGGTTTTACCATGCCTCTTTTCTGCTCTATTCTAATTATTTTCCCAGCATTTGAGCACCTTCATTTAGTTTGGGCCTATTGAAATTTTAAATAAACAACAACAACAAGATTCCATTTATAAAGCGCCTTTCACGTCAGGAGGACGTCCCAAGGCGCTAAAAGCACACAGATTACATTTTTGTGATTAGTGATGTAAATGGTTTTGTTTTAATTCATTCATTCCTGTAAACTTCATGCCCTCACGCATTTCCTGTCATTTCTCCAGCCTCAGGTTAAATGGAACCTATCTTTGGAAGCCTAAAGATCCAGGCTGACTTATGCTTGGCATAGCAGCTATTCCGAAAGAGGGGGCAGACATGAGCGGGGGAGGCGAGCAGGCTGACATACTGTCAGTTGGGTTTCTGGTAAAGGAACGCTGGAAAGTGGTGAGTATAAATTTTCGTTGGGTCATATTATAAAAGAGTTACATTTATGGGTTGCAGCTTGTGTCAAATCTTTCTCTTTCTGCTCATCATAGTTTGTACTGAACAATTTGACATTTATTGTTTCAATTTCCTCATCTAAGGAAATGAAGCATTTTTTGGCACTGCAGTACATTTCCCTGTGGACCTTTTGATGTTTTATGAAGCATCTTTTTTAATTTCATCCTTTTGTTGTCGAAAGTAAAACCATTTTAACTGATTTTATTTAAAATACACTGTTGATATGTATGCAAATAAAAACAAATGTTAAATCAGGTAAGTTGAAAAGTCTTGTCCAAATTTACTTGCTCAGAGTAGCTTATATTGTCCAACATTTCATTACTGTACTGTGAATGTTCAGTTGGTTAACTGAATTACAGAATATTAAAGGATATGGGAGGGTGGTGTTCAGTGCAATGAAGTGGAATTGGATGGAGAAAGAACAATTTGCTTATAGTGTCTTTCACATTGGGAGGAAGTGCCAAAGTTCATCATTCAACTTTCTGAGCACCCAAACTGGGGGGAGCGGGGTAGAACATCACTGCAGACTTGATGAGTGAATGGCCCATTTTTTTACTACAGCATTGCATGGTGTACCCTGTTAAATGTTTGTGAACAGATTTGTGATAGTTCAGTCTGAACATTTTTAAAATAGCTGAACTGTGAAGCATTTTTCCATGGAGGATGCAGTATAGCAAAATTGTTAAGTGAAGGAAACTGAGGCTAGATGAGTGGCTAAATGCTTGTGGACACTGGTTCCAAGTACTTTGTGACATAAAGTGAATTTAAACTGACTGCGGCACCATGGAAAAGCAAAATGCTTTAAGTATAAGATTTTTTTTAACAAAAATGTTAAAACATGGTGTCAGCATAGGACTATCTTTTTATTTTTACTCTTCATGTTCCAATGGTGTTCATTATTTTTATATTTCGGTCGCGTTCCTGCAACTGTGCATGGGGCAAACCCAACTGAGTTTACTGGTGGATAGAACAATTCAATAGTTGGGTTGCAGCCACTGACAAACAGTGAAGAATTGTGCCTTTGCCTATTACCAACACTTAAATTAACCATGCAACTCTAATCTGTTCATTGGATTTATTTTCAGTATAGATCTGTTGTAAGGGTAATGTGGAGCTATGATGCTGTATGAAATTCATGTCTATGAGACAGATAGCAATGCATTGTAAAAGATTGCTACTATTCATCCAGACGTTTTCCAACCAATGTGATGCACAAAGCTAGCCACTGGGATCTGCTTGGCTGTGACTCTTCCCACAACATTTTACCACCTTGAAGTGCAATCAATCATTGGCAAAACTCCAGTTGGTTTTCCTTCCACACATCAGTTGCTTGGTCTGTACTTGACAGCCCAACTGAATTCAGCAACCTTCTTGCCCCCATCCCCCAGTCTGAGAAAGGTTTTAGCGTGTATGCCTGAGCATGCTGCTCTTTTAATGAATTTTATCCTTTCATGTGTTATGTTTAATAAATGTTAACGTTAACAATTTAAATTATGAATTTCCAACTTCAACATTTTTTTATTTGACAAGGGTTGGGTGAAATTTTCAATTGCTATAATTAGAAATAATTTTGTGGTATGGAGTGGGTTATCCGAAAGTATGAAGTTGAATGTATTGTATGATGTGGGCAGCGGGTTAATGAAGAATCTGAAGTTCAATTATTTATCCTGTTTGCCTTTGAGCCGTTTATGGAATAGGTACTTGTAGTTGTTTTGTTTTGAGGTTGTAAACTGAAGGAAATACTATATTAAATGGGTTTCTATGATAACTACAGGCAATGTAAAAATTCATTCTAAACTAGCATTTTTAAAAATCAGTAAGCTATTGAAATATTCATAGTTGAAGAATTCCTTTCAGGCCATCATTTGAAAGTCACATTTGCTTAACTTTAGTCTGTTTACAGGGTAATTGTGTTATTTGTCCCAGAATTGGGCCGATCCAACCATAGCACACTATTATCTGCAATAGTGACTGTAGTATTAACATATTTGGTGATTTAATAAGTAATGACTTGGGACTGCAGATGACTGCTTCTGATATCCTCTGGGTCACGAGAGAGGAAATGCATTTTTTTTCTGCCAAATTTCTTATTTTCCCTTCAAGGCATTGATTCTCTCTGGAATAGGGCTCTAGAAATGCTAGCAGCTCCCTAAACCTTATCCCCATTGCCTATCATCAGGACTCCACAGTATCCACTCATTGAATCATCGAATTATACAACACAGAAGGAGGCCATTTGGCCCATCGTGTCTGTGCCGGCCTGTGCCGGTCATTGCTTATGTTTTTTATGCCTTGTATTGTCAACCTGAACATCGTCTCTCATTTATTTCTTCTTTCTCTTTCTTCCACCAAACAAATTCAGTTTTAAGTTTCAATACTATCTGGACACTATGGTTTATTTTCCCTCTTGGCAGTGCAATAGATTAACATTCAACCTTGTGTTTCATTTCATTAGGTAATGCCTTTGACTTGTTCTTCACTTGCCTTCTGATCTTTATGGTCCTTCCGTATACCTACGGTTGATCTTGTGAATTGGGCAAAGAGGCCTTCTTCATCTGTACCGATCTTCATCACCTTATACAAATATAATTTTGTTGTTGAGCTCTTGGTAGGAGATTGTTTTGTTTTTTAAAACAGATGATCCATGGAAACTGAGTGCTAGATTATTTTGAAATTGTTGTTTTAGGATTATTATTCTTTTACTTTGTTAACTAGAATAATTAAAAATGAAACTTTCAGAGGAGGCTAACTGCATTACTAATACTTAAGCAGATGATATTTACATGGAATTGCAAAGATGGAGTATAAAATGGTGGTGTTGGCTTGATGGGCTGAATAGGCAGCTCCTGTTTCTATCGCTAACAATCGTCCCATTTGTGACTATTTGAAAAGCAGGAAGTTTGATAGCTAAGAGTGAGACTTGAATGCTGATTTGTTTTGTGCAATAAGTCTTGCAATTCTGTCTGTTCAGTTCTAAGTCTTAAAAAGCAGCTCAGCAGCCAGGACACTTAGTTTTGTGATGAGAGAAAAACGTTTTCCCCAGTGCTGTTTCTGGGTGGGTGAATAATGCTGCCAAATAACATTGCTGTTAGCAGGATGATTGTACTTCACGTTCGGATTAATGCGCTAATAGAGGACCAAAGGCCCAGGAGACGGAAAAGCATTTTGAAGCCAGCAATATCAGCACACTTTTGAGCTGCTGTCTTGTTATCAAGTTGACTCTAGGCTTTTAGACAGAGAATAGCTGCCACTGTCCTGGGGTTTGTAATTCTTGTAAATATGATGGCTAATGTTGGATTTGTTTTTGGGTCCTAATGGACGAGATGCACCAAAATGTAGCATTATATTTATCGATTTTGACCACGTTTCAAAATCTCCCGCCTGAACCAACAGCCGAAACTAAGTGACGTAATTTACTGGAATCAGGTTTAGTATAATATTTTCATTATTATTATCTCCCTCCCTCTCTTCTCTGTTGTCTTCCAGGTTGGGCAACCCTTTGCCTCTAATTTCGGCGTGTGTATTTTGGCTGCCGCTTCTGACCTGAGCTGTTTCCCCCCAAAAGCCCCCATCCCTGTCCTCTATCCTGCATTACTCCCACTTGGTCGTTCTCTCTTTCCGTCCTCAGCTCCTATCCCCACTTGACCTTCCACAGTCTCCCTCTGCTCCAGTGTGGAAATCCTATGCGGGCTCACTGTGGTCCTCGCCGTTGGCTGTCCAGCAGCAGCCACCCTGACTGCCCCATCCCCCAGGTGACACCTTCCTCCTGACTGAGGCCACACTACCCGGCTAAACCTTCCACCATACCCGACACCATAACCGTTGGTGGTGTGGCTCGACTCCCAAGTCCTCACTCAGGCTATCCCCTTGCTCCTCCAGTTCCTTGCCCTCCTTCGAGCACCTTACCCAGCTCGAGTCTAAATCCCTGACTATCCAGCACCTTGGCCTGCCCTCTCGACATGAAAGGAGTTATACAAATGTAATTTGTTGTTGTTGTTGTTCAGCATACATTTGCACTGCTGGGGAAGCACTGCACTTTTAAGAGATGCCATCCTTCTGACAAGATGTTCAAATAAGATCTGGTCTACCTGTTCTTCAGAGACATTACAAGATCATGTGGTATTATTCAAAAAGAAAAGGGAGATTAGTTTCTCTTAATGTTCTGATCAGCATTGCTATAGATAAAATTTGTTGTGGAACTAGGCATAAATGGTTGCTGTATTTGCCTACAAAAGCAGTTACGACACTTGACAGAAATTGCTGTCTTTGTTGGTATGCAAAAGCACACAGGCCACAAAGGATCATTCTGCAAAAGTATTACGAGCTCATGTGAATAATATTTGCTTACTGATTGATGACTTGTTTGTGGACCCATAGCCTTGGATTAACACCAGATAGGAAGCACAATGGCATTGATTTAGATTAAGATATCCTGTCATGGAGGGATGCTTCAGTCTTGTCATCTCTGAAGCCAGACTGGAACTAATTGGAGGGCAAACCCTCTGCCAGGCACCATCTTAGGCAGATCTCCTTATCATCATGTTGGTAGGGGCATGAAACAAGCAGCTTTATTCTTCATTTTTGCCCTGCATTTCATAAAAGAACAATGTGAATGTACTAAAATATCTAGTACAAATGGTCTGAATAAAACTCCCAATATTTCAAGGCAGCAGTATCCACAAGATAACCCTTGTGCAAGTTACTTTTGATGACAGTTTTACCCCATATATTGGTGTCAGAAAACCAGGATAGGATTTTCAACTTTAAATGCTATTTCTAAACTGTTTCTACTACTTTGGGAAGTTCTGCTGTGTGAAAAGTCATCTAAATCAGCTGCAAGGACTAATATTAGAGCAGCAAGAAGTTGTTTTGTTATGCAATTTTCCACATGCTCAAGTTATGACAACTTGTATCTACCAATAATTTGTCCGTGGAACTTACAT